CATGAGGGAGTGGAGGAGCCGCCCTGATATAAATATGGGCAAAATAAGTGAGGTTTTAAACGCTAAAAGCAAACAGGCTGCAAATGGACTTTCGGCTTTTATTTGTCAAGTTTTGTTTCATGAGGGCAATTTATGAGGGTATTTTGCTGTGGTCAAGCCTGTCACTGTGAGTGGGGAGGAGCAGCAGCTGGTTCATCCCTGCTCCAGCCATATCCTGTGGGGCTCAAGCCACCTTAGGTACATTGAAGCAGATGGTTTGGCTTGGAGCTGGGCAAGATACCCCCAGGGGCACCAAGGAGGCTGGAGATCTACTAATTACTCATTTATTAACATCTAATTAGTATCTCTCCACTTCCTCCTCTCTCCCAAGGGCTCTGCTTCTGGCAGGAGTCACCTCATGCCCAAGCATGCCCCGGGGGATGATTTTCCACCTCAGATGCATCCTGGCATTGCAATGTCTTGCTGTTCCTGGGGCTTTGTAGCAGACTTCTCAGCATTACTCACGATAATTAGCAAAAACGTAGAGATTTCTTCTCTGCAACATCAGGATGAAGTGGGATCCCTCCCCACGGGGCATGCACAGATGTCTGTGAGCTTTCACAGCTGGCTCCAGCAGCAGGGGCGTGCCAGGCACAGCCAGGGTTCCCAATCTCAGCCAGACCCTGGGTGCTGCAGAGGCTCCAGCCTTCTCCCAGCATCTGCACTGGTGGTGGATAACTCCCTTTGGCAGTCAAAGATTACCTTCCCTTCGGCTGCCCCTATCCCAGACCAGTCCCCTGCTCTCCCACCCACACCTGCTCCCCTCCATCCCTAGAGAGCTTTGTTTGGTTTGAATCCAGCTGGAATCTGGATGCTCCTGATGTTTTTCTTGCTCTAAACAGAGGCTGCTGACTCTGGGATGGGGTCTCAGGATGAGAAAGGCTCAAACCACATGCAATGACAGGTCCCCACTGCCAAGAGCTGAAGTCCCAAGGTACCTCCCCAACACCAGGCATCCAGGAAATTCGGGGGGCCAGTTACTTACATGGATGTTGTAATGTGACAGTGTTCAATTACCTGTATTAATTAAGTTTAATTACCAGTATTTAATTATCAGATGATTAACCAACTAAATTCCATCCACCCTTGGGGCTGCCATCCTGAAGTCCATGCAGAGGTTGCTAGGCAGCATCCATGCATCCCATTGTGTCCACCTGGGAACAGCAGCCATTCCTTAACTCATAGTCCCCAAGGGCTCTGAAAATGCCTTGCATGAAGGACTCAGGGACCATCAGCAGAGGAAAGTACACCAGCTGTCTGAAACATGGGCAAGACACCTCCAAAATTGTTCCCTGCTAGTCTGAACTCCTGTCAAGGAAGCTGGCAAACCCAGGGAAGATGCACCACATGGCCCTGAGCTTTTTGCTGCCCCAGCTGCTCTTGCATGGCCAGTTCAGATCTAAAAGGGGTCTGGGTTTTGATTTGCATTCTCCTGGTACACAAAATCTCCCCACTGCATGGAGCCTGTCTGCTTCAGGGCACCAGAATGTTTAGCATCTGCTTAAAATCATTAATTGTTCTCATGGTAAGTGCCTGATGATGTATTTTAAATAGAAATTGGAGGGATTTACCCTTCTCTCCCTCTCTGTTTCTCACCCTCCTCTCTTTCCTTTCCTCCATTTCTTCCTCTCATCCTTCCTCTCTTCCTCCCTAAAAATGTATTAATTTCTTCCTCATTCCATTGCCAAAACCCCTACTCAGTCACAGGCAGCAGCAGACAAGGAGAAACTCAACAATAAGGGCAAATCCAATAGTAAAACTGAAATGAAATGACAGCCATTAACCTGGTATCAGGAGGGACAGTAAAACTGCAGCACGGCAGGAGCCAGCAGGCCTCAACTCGTAACTTTTCTTTCTGATTAAAACACACCAGTCACAGATTAACTTCCTTTGCTTAGTATTTTATTGTCTCACCAGCACTGGAACGCTGGGAGAAGAGGAAGAGGGGTGGGCAGGACTGGGGACTCAAGATCTTCAGCTTGTTTGCAGCTCTGCAGCCTTTGGCAGGTGTCAAGGACATGGACACCCAGACAGAAGTGATGGACCTGCCTCTGGCAGTTGCCCTCTACCATGAAGTGCTAGTGCCAAATAGTGTCTGTCCACCAGGGCTGCCTCCCAGACTGGCCTCACCCACGGCCACAGAAGGAGTCAGTGCCAGAGGTGGGGTGCTCTGGGTCTCCCAAACAGGGCAGGCACAATGGTGGACACAGCCACTGCTGCAACCTGGGCAAGGCCATCGGCTCATTTCAGTAGAGACAAAGCACCAGGAGCTTTGGGGAAGCCACATCCCTTGGCAAATCGATCCATTTCTTTCTTTCAAGCATCAGAAAACGAGACAGAAATGAAAATAACTTCCTGGCCACACCCCCTCAAGCATCTCTGCATCTCTGGATCCTCCATTGGGTGTATTCCTTGCTCCTTGCAGAGCACAGCTTGTGCCAGCCTGGTGCAGCAGCATTCTGTCCCTTTCCTAATCCCTCAAAGACCCATTAATGCATCACAGAGGGTGCAAACACCTCTATGGGACCCCAGTGCATTTTAATTCATTAATTCCATGCTTGAGTTTCTCTCATTCTTCCCACCACCTGCCCTGCTCATCCTTCCAGAGCAGCTCAGGGCAGTGATGGCAGAGGACATTTCTGTCCTTATGCTGGGAGATGGGAGAGTCAGGGCAAGGATGACCCAGTCACAGAGATGCTTTTCCCAGGATTTCCAACAGCTACCCTGGAGAAATGAAACAGCATCAAAGAACATCCTTATGGGAAACCCCAATGGGCCTCAGTTTCCCTTTGATGTTCCCAGGTCAAGAACAACAGCTGGGTACCCTGCAGGCCCTCCACGCCCTCATCCTTCACCAGCTAGATCTTTTTAATATCCCTGCAATAAATCACTTTTTAATTACAATTGGATTGCAACTACCAAAATATAAAAGGCTTTGGGCTTTACAGCACACCAGCAATGGTTCCTATGAATTGGAATGCCTTTCCATCCCCAGCAGCTCCATTTGCACCACTGTGATGCATCCTTGTGCCATGGGAAGAGCTCATTGCTTCCTTCCAGCTTCTCACATCCCCGTGCACAAGCTAGAAGTATGAAGTCAAGAGGAAGTTGGATCTGTTGTGAGGAAATGGGGAGCTCAGCATAACCAGGGTCAAGCTCTCACTCCTAGGTGTATCCCCTCCTCTTCCTCCTCTAACTGCTGCTTTCACCCTGTTTCAGATTTTAGGGGAGGGGGTTGTTTTAATTACAAAAAAAAACCAAAACGAATTAACTCTCAGGCCATCCCTGAGATTTTTAGCAGCAGATAAACTTGAGCAGCTGCTACCTACAGCAGAGGGCACCCTGGCACGGGCACCAGCACGCACTGCCTCCCCAGCCTTCATCCTAAATCACAGCACAACAAACAGGCTGTTCATTAGGTGCTGTTTAATTAAGCAATATGGATCCTGCCTCGGTATTTACAATCCCACTCGCCCTGATTTATTGGAGAGAGTCCCGTTCTTAAAGACGGTGACTGTAAAGTTTAATACCGCTTGACTTAACTGCGAGTTTCATTTACGGCCGCGGGGCGAGGCGCGGCAGCCCGGGCTGGGAGCCGCCGGGCCATTAAATCAGAGCTAACTGCGCGTGCAGGGAGATGACTAGCTTCGTTACAACCGGTTCAGCGGCTAATTACCCCGAACTGCATTGCCACACTTACGGCAATTTGTTGCCGCTTTCCCAGGACCCTGGAGAATAAGCGGGGAAGTTGGAGAGGAGGCACTTGTTGCAATGGAAAGGGCTCGCCATCGGGATGGTGGCGGAGACCAAACCGACTCTGCTTGTCCCAGGAGAGGAGAAATCAGTTTTGCAAGAGGCCAGACTCTCAGCTAGGCAGCCCCAACGCCCTGGTGAGAAATGCTGTGTACAATGACTGCTCCAAGTTCAAGGGTCAGCCACCAGCTCCTCCCCACAGCCCCGGAGACCCTGGGGAGCACTGAGGTCAGGTGAGGGCAGTTTGTGGGCTCTGGGATGTGGCAATCGGGCAAAAGATAGGACCAGCATGTAGGAGGGCATCCAACATCACACAGGCCAGGAGGCCTTCCCATCTGTCCCAGCCCCATGGATACAGAGGGAGGAGCGATGCACGGATGGGGCACAGGTAATACAGTACTCCTCACGAACTGTTGTTTTGGAGGTAGCAGGAGAGCACTTCTCTCCTTGCAAGGTATTTCTAGCCCCCAGGAGCACACTCACAGATTTGACAAGGAGAAGAGTCTCCTTAGAGAGTTGTGAGAATGGTTCATTAGTGACAAATACAAACTATTTGTGAAGAGTGAGAGTACATAGTGTTTGGCATCCCCCCACATCAGCTGTGATGGCATCACTGTCCATCACCTGCTCCTGCAGAGTCCAAGGGCTTTCCTGGAGGGAATGGCTGGAGAGCACAGACAGAGGTGAATAGCACATCCCCCAGCCTGGCCCAGGGTCCACGCTGCCACTATCCCACCCCATGGCTGGGCACAGTGAAGAGGGGAGCAGCACCAGGAAAGAAGAGGACTCCCTGGCAGCCCTCAGGTGAGTGATGAACCTGCATCCCAGCAGCCCCTGTGCCTGCAGCAGGCAGCATGAGGGCTGCTGCCCAGCAGTCCTAGCCAGAGAGGATGAAGAGAAACAGCTCCAGGGCTGAGCATGTCAGCCAGCAGCCTTCGTGCAGCAAGTCCCAGTTAAGCCTTGAGCTACATCCATTCCTCCTCCCTGATTCCCACTCCTCCACAAGCCTGCAGCACTCAGAGACAGACTCAGAGCTCCCCCCAGGGAGGAAGAGGAGGCAGCGCAAGGGCAGGGACGGGAGCAGCAGGCATCGGGCTGCCAGCACATCCCCTGAGCCCCGTGTTACTCCCCACCAGCAGATGGGGGTCTTCACCAGAGACCCCAAACCTCCCACCTAGGGCTAAGAGCCACGAAAGCACAGGTAGAGGCACTTTGCTTCCAGGTTTTATTGTCCAGGTGGGTTGTGCACCTCCACGGGGCAGAACTCCCAGTCCCACCAGTGAGACTGGACTGGTAAGGAGGGTAAGCCCTTTAGTGGTGGTAGGAACATGCCATGGGGGCAGAAGATAGAGCCTGGGATGGTGAAAGAGACAAGGAACACCACCTACACAAGGATGCCACGGGATTAGGCCCTGAGTCCCCAAACAGGCAAAACCAGTCCCAAAAACCAGCCAAGCCGTGACAAGGTTCAGGAGAATCTGGGAGCTCAGAGGGCTCACATCTGACATGAATTCTCAGACCACTCCCAGCTGACTGGTGGCCTTAGTGAGCATACCAAATGATACAATCTTAAATCTCGACTGTTAGCATAACTCTGTCAAGCCCACCACTGAACCATGCCCTAAGTGCCACATTTACACATTTTTTTGAATACTTCCAGGCAGAGTGATTCCACCACTTCCATGGGCAACCTGTTCCAATGTCTAACCACCCTTTCGGTGAAGAAATATTCCCCAACATCCAATCTAAACCTTCCCTAGCACAACTTCAGGCTGCTCCCTCTTGTCCTACCATTAGTTATCCAGGAGAATAGACCAACCCCCACTTGGCTATGAGTTCCTTTCAGGTAGTGGTGGAAAGCAGTAAGATCCCCCCTCACACTCACATCCGAGGACTGGATGCTCTGCTGCTCCCCATCACAGCTCCTCAGCCCTCTTCTTGTAGTGCACCTCGGGGAGGCTCCTCAGGCGCTCAGCTGCCTGCAGGGCACAGCACAAGGGACAGCCAGGGGCTGCTCCCAGGGACAGCCCTGGCACACAAGCCCCTGGCTCCCCCAGTCCCCCTGAGCTGCACTCACCTGCTCCGGGGTGAGGTCCCTCTGTGCCTGTGCCAGCATCTCGTATCCCACCATGAACTTGCGGACGGTGGCAGAGCGCAGCAATGGGGGGTAGTAGTGGGCATGGAGCTGCCAGTGCCTGCAGTCCTCCTCCAGGTAGGGGCCTGTGGGGGCTCCTGCAGGAGGTACAGGCACCAAATGAGCCGCAAGGAGGGACAGGGATGTGGATGAGAAGATTGCAGAGCCACGCCACTCACCATGCCAGCCCATGGAGTAGGGGAAGGAGACTTCGAAGAGGTTGTCATACTTGATGAGCAGCCTCTTCATGATGGAGGCCAGGCCTGCAGGAAAATGACAGTGATTCACACCCTGAGCTGGTCAGCAGCTTGCCAGGTGTGCAGTGGGGTCACCTGCAGCACCTCTCCCTGGATGGACATCAGTGACAGGAAGCAGGGATGCACTTGGGAATTCCCACCCCTCCCCACTCACACAGGGAGCCTGAGCAATGCAGCAGGAGATGCTCCCCACCAAAGCAAGGAGCTTTGTGCTTCATCACCCCAAAACGACACGACCCTCACCAGCAGTGCTGGCTGTGCCCAAACAACTAGTTCGTATCCTAACAAAACTGAGGTGCCATTCCCCTCCTCAGCTAGGTTCAGCAGGCCCCACCCCAAGGACCTAAGCCCTCCAGCACCAGCACGGCTGCCTCCTAACTGAGGTGCAGCCCAAAGGACGTGGGGTGGGTAAAACAAAGCTCAGAGCCACTCACTGTCCTTCTCACTGTCACTGAGGTCCTGGAGGCGACAGACATGGCGGCGGGGCAGCAGCAGGGTCTGGTAGGGCCAGGTAGCCCAATATGGCACCACAACCAGCCAGTCTGCATTCTCCACCACCAGCCGTTCCTGCAGGACACAGAATCACAGAACCAGCTAGGTTGGAAAAGACCTTTCAGACCATCAAGTCTAACCTATGACCTAACACCACCTTATCAACTAAACCACAGCCCTGAGTGCCACACCCAGTCTTTTTGACTCCACCACCTCCCTGGGCAGCCCATTCCAATGTCCACTCTTTCAGTGAAGAATTTTTTCCTAATGTCTAGCCTGAGCTTCCCCTGGCAGTCCTGTCTTGTCCTGTCACTGGCTGCCTGGCACAAACGGCCAAGCCCCCGCTGACTAAATCCTCCTTTCAGGGAGCTGTAGACAGTGATAAGGTCTCGCCTAAGCCTTTTTTTTCCCAGGTTAAACACCCCAAGCTCCCTCAGCTGCTCTTCATAGGGCTTGTGTTCCAGGTCTTTCACCGGCCTTGCTGCCCTTGTCCAGATGAATTCCAGCATCTCAATATCCTTCCTAAGTTGGGGGGCTCAGAAGTGGACACAGTATTTAAAGTGGAGCCTCGTCAGTGCCAAGTATGGGGGAAGAATGACCTCCCTGTTCCTGCTGGCCACACTACTCCTTATACAGGCCAGGTGTCATTGGCCTTCTTGGCCACCTGGGCACACTGCAGGCTCATGTTCAGTCAGCTGTCAACCAGCACCCCCTTTTTGCCTGGGCACTGTCCAGCCACTCTGTCCCCAGCCTGTAGCACTACAGGGAGATGTCACACGCCGTGCTTGATGGGGACATAAGCAGTCCCAGCGCCCCAGGGCACTCCGAGGGACCAGCCCGGCACACAACCAGCTCCCAGGGAGGGGATACAGACAACATCCATGCCTTCACCTTTCGGCAAGCCTCCTGCTCAGCATACTCCAGCAGCATGGGCATGCCGTGCTGGCTCAGGTGCTGGCGCTGGGTCCGGTCCTCCAGGCACGCTTCATTTGGGAGGAAGCTGCTGGCCCACACCTGGCAGGGACATTGGGGCGCTCAAATCCCTCACTTGCAGGGGTACCCCTAAGTCATGCTGCCCATCCGGAGGTCCCTGCTGCCACCAGGTGGAGAGTCTGGAATGTGGCAGCCACAAGGGACAGTCCCCAGGGTGGCGGTGACAAGACAGACACAGGGGTATCCTCACTGTAAAAAGCTTCGGGACCAGGGCAGGGCGATTACCGTTCACATCTGCCCTCAGGGTTTGTTGTAGGGTCACCACAGGGACTTGTAGCTAGCCAATTCACAGGTGGGACAACCTCACCTGGCAGTGGGGGTGCGGGTTGGAGCAGCCCATCATCGCTCCCTTGTTCTCGAAGATCTACAAGAAGAAGAAGAGGTGCAGCCAGCAGGTCCCAGCCGCAGGGCCCCCACTGCAGGCTGTCCTGGTGTCCCCAGCACAGCAGGGAAACAACCCTCAGGAAAACAAAGCCTCACACCCTCATGGAAAGGCTCAGCAGGACACCAAGGCTCAAAAGGGCACAAAGCAGGAGACCCACACACAACTAGGATGCTCCCAACCCCAAGTACTGCCAGAGTACACAGTGCTGGCCTCCCAGCTTCACCCACAAAAGAGCAGCCCCCACCAGTCCCACACCTGCACCCAGGGGTAGGAAGCCCCCAGCTCAGTCGCCAGCTCTGCCCACGCATCGATGACAGCCCGGATCTCTGGCAGGGACATGAGGGGCAGCGTCAGATCCGACCAGGGGTGGAAACACATCACCTTGCTGTAGAGGAAACACACATAGCTGTGACTGCAGGTGTCTTTGGAGACCCTCACAGCTTTGCTGGGTGCAGTGAGACGAAGGACAGGGCCAAAACCCTCAGAATGACCCCAAAACTGAGCAGGTGTATACAGAACAGGCACTGTATGAGGGTAGCAGACCCAGTCCAGCACCATTCCACAGGCTCTTGACAAACTGTCCCAAACCCGCTGGGGCCATGTAGGTACTTACCACACACCCCGGGCTGGGGCAGCTCGAAACAAAGGGTGATCACTGTCATCTGGGGAAGGACAGAGTGGGCAGGGAGAAGGTGCTGAGGCAGAACCCAAGCCTCTCCAGGCTACCCTGCAGCAGCCCTAGGACTCAAGTAGGGGGTCCCCAGCAGCCTGCTCCGCCCCCCAAAGTTACCAGGCTCTGGAGCATCAGGCTGCAGTGCAGGGAAGTCATTTGGGAAGACGAAAGTACCCTCGTAGTTGGGGTTCACCTGCCGGGGTGAGAGATGGTATGAAGGCAGGAGGGAGTGGCAGAGGGAGCCCGGGTCTCCGTGTCCCTGGTGCTACCTCGCCGTTGGCCCGGGTGGCCCCGGGGCAGAGGGGGTTCTTGGGGTCCCAGCGGGGCACATCCTCGGGGGGCGGCTTCTCAAGCTGGCCCTGCCAAGGGCGCTTTACCCGGTGGGCCGATACCAGCACCCAGTCGTCCCGCAGCGGGTTGTACCGAACGTGCTGGTGCTCTGCGGGGAGGGAGAGCAGCGGGGCGTCAGCGGCAGACCCCGCAAAGGGGGTACTCGCACCCTGGCCCCTCAAGGGGCAAGCCAGAGGGTCTGCACGCCGCTTTATGCACTCCTCAGCTTCACCCCTTCCTCCCCGTCCCAGCTGCTCCGGACAGGGAAGGTCCCCGCAGCTCCCGCTTCCCGGGGTCGTGCTGCGCTCCGCCGGGGGTCTGAAGGGAAGGATGGAGGAAGGCAACCCCGTCCATACCGCTAGCGCGGAAGCGGCCGCCCCCCTCCTCCGTCCCCGCCAGCGATGGCTCCATGCCTCCCCACTCCCGGAAACCCGGCGGGACCGGCCCCTTCCAGCCTGCCGCCCCGCCCCGCCGCGCCGGCGCAGCCGCCCGGGCCGTGCGTGGCGTGGCCGCGGCGGGGGCGGTCCCGGCCCGGCTCCCGGGTCCCGCTCCCGGTGCCGGGGGCGGCGGAGCGCGGGATGGGCGCGGCGTGGGGGCGGCGGGCGCTGCGGGCCGGGCTGGCGCTGGGAGCGCTGGCGCTGGTGCTGCAGGGGCTGCGCGGGTGGCTGGCGGCCAAGCGCTACGAGTTCAGCCCCGCCGAGATCGCACAGCTCGCCCGGCACCACGCGGGTACGCGCCGCCCGTGGGGACGCGGAGGGGCGGCGGGGAGCGGGGCCGAGGAGGGGTGGGAGTGGGGATGGGGGTGGGCAAGGAGTTGGGGATGCAGAGAGGAGTCGGGGACGTGGCGGGGAGCGGCGGCCTGGACTGGAAGGGGGGAGCCGCAGCGGGGACGAAGGAGCGAGGAGAGTCCGGTACGGGGGGGCCGGGATCAGGGAGGGGCAGGGAGCTGGGTCTGGGCAGCAGGACTGGGACAGGGAGGAGATCGGTACCGGGGGACAGCAACTGGGAACGCGGAGGAAACGGGATGGAAGATGAGACTGGAGCAAAGGAGGGATGGGGACCAGGGCAGCGGCATCATCCAACCAGGTTGGGGCTGAAGCTCCAGGTGGGTCAGGCCTGAGGCTTCAAAAGAGGGCTGTCCCCATAGGGCACAGGGAGTTTGGTCGGGGCTGCATGTCACCAGGACAGGGGCACTGTCACCTTGCTTGGGTCTCCCATATTACCCGCATCTGGGATGGGCTGTTGGACTGGAGCACTCGGTGCTGCTTATCCTCCATCACCATCCAGGGAGGTGGTGGAGTTGAGTCAACAGGAGCTGAGGGCTGGAGAGAGGAGATACCTTCCCTAGGCAGCCCTCTCCAAGGGTGTGCTGAGACCCTGTAGTTGTGGCAGGGGATTCGGGAGGGTGGTTGGCTGAGCTTTTTCTGTGCCAGGGACTTACAGTGACCCTGGGTGCTGCAGGGCTGGACCATGAGCTGGCTTTCTCCAAGATCATTGTGGAGCTGCGAAAGAAGCACCCAGGCCACATCCTGCCAGACGAGGACCTGCAGTGGGTGTTCGTGAATGCAGGCGGATGGATGGGCTCCATGTGCCTGCTCCATGCCTCGCTCACCGAGTATGTGCTGCTCTTTGGGACTGCTGTCGACACTGGGGGACACTCGGGTAAGCAGGGGCTGCTGGGCAGGGGAGTTCTCTGAGTTATTTCTACTCCACTTTTTCAGGTGCAGCTGGCCATGGTGTGCCCAGCACAGGGACCCCACTGCTTCACTACTTGTATGGGGTGAATGATGCTGTCCAAACACTCCCTGCAAGGGGACCAGCCCCCATGGTGTCCTGCAGCATCTGCAGGTCCCTGTGTGTGACATGCTGTGTGGCCAAGACTCTCCGCATCCAGCTGGCAGGCAATGGCACACATCTCATCTCCCAGTGCTTCAGGAGGGAGCAAATGCCAAAGAAATTGGAAATGACAGGGCTTAAGGACACCAAGCAGTCCTGGCTGGTGATATATGGCTCTTCACACAGACAGTGGGGGTACCAGAGCTGTTGGCACTTCTTGGTGTATTGAGGGGCTGCCATCCTGACCCTCCCCTACTCCATGACTCATACCTGGGCTCCTGTGCTGTCCCTGGCAGGGAGACACTGAGCCAGTGTTGTCTGTCCTCCCACAGGTCGCTACTGGGCAGATATTTCTGACACCATAATCTCGGGGACATTCCGGCAGTGGAAGGAGGGGACCACCAGAAGTGAGATCTACTATCCAGGTAAGGGCAGCAGTATGGTGACCCGTGGGCTGCATCCATGTCTTTCAGGCACAGCCATTTGCTGTTGTAAAGGCCCTTCCTGAAAGAAAGGTGAAAAAAAAATACTGAAAAGAAACCGAGCTGACAGCTTCTGAAAGCTGACAGAAACCAATAGCTCAGGATAGAGCAGTTTGGGTCCTCAGTGGCACATCCCAGCATCTCAGTGGGTGGCAGTAAGAGAAAAGGGAGCAAGGCTGAGGTGGGTTTGTCCTGTGTCTCCTGTTTGGGCGTGATGTGGGGCAGCCACTAGGAGCCGTGCTGGTTGTGTGTTTTGGCAGGAGACACCATCGTGCATCAGGCAGGAGAGGCCACGTCAGTGCAGTGGAGCGCAGGCACCTGGATGGTGGAGTACGGCCGGGGCTTCATCCCCTCCACACTTGCCTTCGCCCTGGCTGACACCCTCTTCAGCACTCAGGACTTTGTCACCCTCTTCTACACCCTCCGTGTCTACGCAAAGGGCCTGCTCCTGGAAGCAAATGCCTTCTTCAGCACCTTTGGGTGCTGAGCCCGTCTCACCAGGGAGGCCTGCTGAGCCCAGTTGACTCCTTTCCTCCCAGCCGTTTTCTCTTCCTCCCCGAGCCCAGGTTCTAGCAGAGGCAGCAGGAGATCCCCTGTGCCTTCCCCAAATTGTTCTGTCCTTTCCCCACAGACGAACAGGGTGCCAGGACAGAGGGACCTCGGCAGTCACAGCAACACAGAACGTCAGTTCTCTTTACTACCTGCCTGTTCCTCCTTTCTATTGGAGTCACGTCCTGCTTTTCCATCCCTCAGGGCTGGAGTGGCCTTGCTGTGTATGAACACCCCTATGTGCCCTCAGCATGCAGCGGGAGAGAAGCTGGAGCTGGCTATCCCCGGGCCCCAAAAGATTTCCTCAGACATCAGGGGAACGATGCTGCCCTTGGGGCAGGGTGCACAGGGTAGACCAGACCAGAGCACCCATTGCAGAGATTGGCCGCTCAGTCCCCCGTGTCTCTGGCAGCCTGCCAGGACTGCGGGCAGCGCAGAGTGCTGTGTCCAGCTGGCAGCATCTCCCGTGGCTCCATCCCTGCTGATGTGGGTTGGCAGCACGCAGTGTCACCCTGGCACGGGGCAGGATCAGTGCTGAAACCCTCTGGCAGTGGGGGGATGCCCCGGTTCCGTGCTGGAGGGCCCCCTGCTCCCCTGTGTGTCATCTGCCTTCGGGGATGGCTGGGGCTGGAAGAAGGTCACTTCCCCAGTCCTCTCCCGGCAGTGCCCCCCAAGGGGGAAATCCACCGTCTGTCGCCTTAATGGAGACCCCGTTCTGCGTGGCCTCTTGGCTATGCACGTACCTAGTGTCCTCGAGTGCCCAAACGTCTGTACTAGCTCAGGATGAGATCTCGCCCCTCAAAACGCCTACCCTGGCTGTGAGTGAGACCCCCTGGGAACAGCCACTCTGCTCGGCTCCCGGCATGGGATCCCGGCTGCCAGGAGAGTGCTGTAATCCTCCAGCCAAACCCAGCTGTGCACCCTGCTTGCACCCCTGAGGTGAGACCCGTGTGAGCTCACTGCTTGGTGGACTTTCACCTCCGTTCTGCTGCCAAACACACGAGTGTGTCCCTGGCCACCCAGGCCTGTAGCATGTTGATCCTCCTGCTCCCTGGACTGTCCCTGTTCTGCTGACCAGCAGCCCTGCACATGGGCTAGTTCTTAATTTGCTACCTGAAAAGAGATACCAGTAATAAAGTTGTTCATCCCACATACTTGGGTCTCCGGAAGAGTCTCTGGAGCGTGCTGAGCCGTGCCACAGTGAAGACCAGTCTGAGCCTCAGCAGCAGTCCTGCTGACAGCTGGCTGTCCCCAGGGAAGTTGGTATCATCCCACTTAAGGTCCTGGGAGCTGGGGGTACAGCTCTGGGCAGGATCAGCCCTGTCTCAGCTCCTGGGGATTGGCAGAAGATGGTGCTGTTACTCCTCTTGCCACTGCAGTCACTGGTGACCAAAAGCCTGGGCTGGTGCCAGGTCCTCGCTTCCATGACAATCCCAGAGCTGAGGGGGCTCCATCCTTTTGAGGGATAGTGGCAGTGCTGAGTCTGTAGTGCCCTGAGGGTGGTTGGACCCACACATAGCGGGTGGTTTTGAGAGGTTTGCACACACACACACAACACATGCATAGGTGCACACACATGCTGTCAGACCCATCACACGTATGTGTGCGTGTGTGTGTGTGTGTATGTGTGTGTTCACAGGTCGTGTGTGTGTATAAGTAGAATAGTTTTCAGGTAGGTGTGGGCATAACAAGTGGGGTTGGCACACATTTATACATAGGTAGAGCAATCAGGCATCTGTCCATACAGAGCAAGTGCAGGTGTGTGAGTTCTGGGGCACATGTGGGTAGGACATCCGTGCATGGGTGTAGTCAGAAGAGTTTTTTTCTTCTGTGTGTGTGTATGCCCATTTAGGTGACACAAGTGTGTTACACCTGTGCTTGTGCACAGCCTGCAGGTGTGCACATGGCAGCAGGTATACACCCCTGTGTGTTCATGGACAGGCAGGCTGTGTTTGTGTGTGTGCATGTATGTTTTGTTGCTGTGGGCTAGCAGGCCTCCCTGGCCCTACACCAGGCCTGTTCCTTGGGGTTTGGCAGGGCCCCGTCGGGGAACACGAGCAATCCCAGCCGAGCTGGCCCGTGTGGCAAGGCGCTAACTCAGCAGCTCGTATCAATACCGCTCCACTTACAGCGAAGGCCGCGTAATGAAAATCCGATGGGCACGCTGGTGGGAGTAAATAAGTATGCCATTAAAATAAGAAAATCAAAGCTCTGGACAGGTCTTTTCTCTTGCCCATTGATTTCTTTTATTACGGAAATATTGCTGCTAAATAACATTAGTGTGAACAATCTCAGCAGTGTTTTCTGTAGCGCCCGTGTCAATAACTCCATCCCGGGCGGGGGATCCCCCCCAGCCTGGCTGCAGGGCCAGAAGCCCTGTCCATGCAAAAGGCTGCTCTGGGGGTTCTTTCCTCAGCATTCCCAGCTCAGCTGGCATGAAGAAAGAAACCACAACAAGCAGAGAAACCACGCAGCATGGATGCTTTGCTGCAGCAGGAGGGGTTGTTCCCATCCCAGCACAAAGCACTGAGTGCCAGGAATTCATTAAAGGGTCACGAAAAGCAACCCTTTGGTGGTTGCAACCTCTTAATCAGGTAAGTGTCTCCAGTGACTAGCAGATAGGAGGTGAGTTCTGGACACAGCAAGTTTTGCAGGCTGTTAGTGCCTCTGCCTCTTCTTCCGGTGCCATCCATGCCCAAGTCCATGCTGGCCTGACCCAGCTGCCTGCAGCTTTGCCATCGTTTGGTTCTCATGGAGAAACTGCGGCCCAGGTTGGAAGCTCATCTGCAGTCACCCCGCTGCAGCACAGCCCCTGTGCCGGGGCCAGGGATTGCCCCTTTCCCCCTTGGCTGCCTAGGGACACATCATCCTTCAAAATGCCCACAGACAGCAGATACTCCTGGAATGACAGAACATGTACCAGGACACACAGGAAATACACATCTTTTGATGTTCAGAGGCCAGATGGGACCCCAGGGCACCTCAAAGAGCACCGAACCTTTATGGAGTGGCTGGAGATGGGCCACCTGCACCCTGGGTCTAGCTCTACCCCAGTCCCAGCCAAAGCAACCATGAGTGGCATCCCCCCAGAGCTGTCATGAGGACAAATGCAGATCGCTGCCCTACTAACACCTTCCCCCTGCAACTTGCTTTATCTTGCTGTCCCTCCGCATGCCGTGGGTATTGATCAGCCCACAGGATCTATCTCTCGATTCCTCCTGCGGTATCTCTGCTCCAAGTATCTCTCACTCTGCTCCACTGTCTGCTGTGCCCATCTATCTATCTGTGCCGCCTCAGCCACAGCTGTCAATAGCCATTTGGGGAATTTCTCTCCAGCTGGGAGCGTCACCACACCCCATTGGTGCAAAATGACGAGCAGGGGGGCAAAGGGGATGCGGTCCTGCTTGCTTGACCCAAGGAGAGCCTGAGCACTGACATCCTTCATGACACATGTGCAGAACCCCAGAGGTGCTGTTATCACTGTGGAAGTTCTAGAGAGGAGCAGAGTACGACAGGTCCCTTGGTGGCCATGCCCAAGGCAATGGGACACGCTGCACCCCCTGGAGACCTTGGTGTTGCCACTAGCTGGCCTGAGTGCACCTGACCCAAGCACCTCAACCCCTCTGTCTTGCAGGAAGGGGAGCTTCCCCAAACACCTGGGCTCCTGTTGAGCCATGGAGAAGTCACCATGTCTGTCTCACCCCATCCAGCACAGCTTTTAGTGTAGGGGATATGGCACAGCTCTGAGCAGAGGGTGCAGCACACTGGGGTGCAAGGCAGCAGCACTGGGAGGGGAAGCTGGAGCCATGTGGCATGGGGTCCTGTGCAATGAGTCCTGAGGGTCGTCTGGCCCTGTGGATCCCTCTGAAATAGGGAAATAGTGGGAATTCAAAAAGAGTGCCACACTGACCAGCACTCAGAGGGGCTGGCAAGCACCAGGAGGTCCCTGCCTCTGCTGCAGTGGGATGGGGTGGGCTAGTGCAAGCTACAGCTGTCCAGCCCTAAATAGGATGGCCGACAGCTAATTTATCTCCTGCGCAAAGATAAACAGCGCCTGGGGGCCCTACGGGGTCGGGAGCTGCCCTGCGCTCCCAGGGAACAGTCTGATTTTTCCTTGGTGAGCATGGTGCACTATGTCAAATGCTGCTGAGGTGTCAGGAGCTTAAGGAACCCTGAGAGTCACCAGAGCCATGGCAGGACACAGGGTAGTTTCTCACGAGATGTTCATAGGGAAACTGGAGAGCACAGAAGCAGCAGCTTTTCCCCACGGAGGGAAGCAGTGAGGGGGACAGAGTTGGGCCATGGAGATTGAGAGAAAGCTCCTGCCACCAGTATGGCCAGTGGCTGTTTTTCCTCAAGATGGAGGGAAAGAGAGAACTCGGCTCATGCTAGCTGCCCTTGGCCCCTGCAGCACACAGGTGGCTGTAGAGGGGACCAGCCACCAGCTCTTGCCACCCAACCTCCTGTAATCCCATGGCACTCAAACCCAGTGCAGCAGTAGGAGTTTCAGTGACAAACTGCTCTGGCTGTGGGATGGGATCAAAGCCACTGTCCCTTGTGTCCCAGAGTTGTGGGGTAATGCTGCTCCCCATGCAAACTCTGCAGCTGCCCTGGCCAGAAAAAGCCCAAGGAAGAGCGGGTGCCTCCTTTGCCTCCTGGCCATTTTCTCCATAGAGAAAGGAGTCAGGAAAATCTGGCAAACAGGCAGGTGGAGGGAGAGTAAGGAAACAGTCTGGGGATGCTGCCAGCAGGCAGCACCCAGGGCAGAGAGGTGCTGTGCTCTCACCTCATCTTACATTCTTGTCTGACATCTGGAGACACACTTGAAGATACCCTGGTGCCACAGTTTACCCCACTGCAAGCAGGGACACAGGACAAGCCAAGAGCATTGAGCCACTCCAGTGACAGAGATACATGGCCTTGTTCTACCCGTGCCAGGAAGCCTCTTTGGGCTTCCAGGCCACATTACATCTGACCCCTCCAGTCAGGGGCCAGGCAGCCACAGCATCTTCCACAAAGATCCCATCCATGTCCCCAGCTGAGGGTCATGGGTCACACTGCCGTGATACCCCAGCCCTCGAGGATGGAGCTCAGGGTTCAGCACTTGCAGCTTGCCCCAAACACCCCTTTGCGTCTGCACAAGGATTGGTAGCATGAGCACACACACCCACCTGCCCCAAAAAAGCGCGTGTGCACACGCCTGCCCCTCCTACCCCTCCCAACAGAGATTGCACACACCAACAGGACAACGTGAAACACACACACACCCAGGCTCCCCATGGACATACATAGGGCATTTATTATTGTCCCCAAAAGCAAACACACATCTGTGTGCACACACTGCAAGCACTCAGCCCCTCTGACAGCGCACACGACTTCCCACATGCGTGTGAAGTTACACACACGGTTACTGCTCCAGGTGATGGACACACGTCCTCCACAGGCACCCCCAGGATGTACACGCACCTTAAACACCGGGCACACTCCCGTTGGTGTGTGGGGATTCCCACACAGACACGTGTAATGCACTCATTTTTCCCACTGTGCACAGGCACAGGGGTGCTCGGACACCCTGCACACACACGTGTGGGGGAGGCTCATCCATCCCACTGTGCACACACAGGCAACGAAAACACACACACATCTTCTCCCGGCGCACACAGGTATCGACACACACAGACAGACCCTCTAAAAGGTGTGCGATGGGTGCAGCACCCTCTCACACACGGGTGCGCAGATCCCTCACACACCCTTCCCTCCTTCACACTCCCTTCTCCTCACACATCTGTGTGTGCACAGCCTGCACACAGCCCCATGCGCTCCTGTCGTCCAGCACCCACACACACACACGGACTGGGGGTCGCCCCCTCTCGCTGCGCCCCCGGCCCCCGCGCAGGCCGGCCCCGGGCTGGCTCTCGGCGGGCCAGTCCGGGGCGATCCCCCGGGGCTGCCGTAAGCCCAGCCCTCCCCGGGTGACTCCCTGGACGTGCGCTAGCAAATGAGAGCGGGGAGGGGTGTTGCTGTCTGACTGCCACTTGTTGCAAGAAAAAAAAAAAAAAAAAAAAAAAAAAAAAAAAAAAAAAAAAAAAGGGAAGAAAGAGAGAAAGAAAGAAAAGAGGGAAAAATCCCACCCACCCTCATCTGCTGCGGAATAAAAGAAATATCGGCGGGCGCGGCGCCATGTGAGCGACGGGCCGGGGCCGGGACCGGGCGGAGCAGCCGGCCGGCCGTGCCCCCCGGGACGGCAGGGCGAGCCCCGGGCGGCGCTCGGAGCCGGCGGCATGGTGGAAAACCCCAGCCTGGCGGCCAAACCTGCCCTGGTGAGGGACGGAGCGGCCGGAGGGGCCCCGGCGACGCTGGGGTGCATGGCGGGAGCGGGGTAGGGACACCCGCGTTGGACGGGGAGCGGGATCGGGGACCCCGATGAGAGCGGGAGGGGGGTCCCAAGAGGACGGGGCGCCCACTGAGACCCTCCGGCGGGATCGGGACGGGGTCCCCGGCGGAGACGGGGCGGTGGGGGGCTCGGTAGGAGAGGTTTCCCCGTCGGGGCGGATGTCTCCGCTGGACCGGGGAGGGAAGGGGTCCTCGGTAGGACGCGGTTCCCAGTGGAACTGAGGTCCCAGCAAGACATGGGCTCCCAGCGGGACGGAGGAAGCAGTCTCCCCGGGTCGGACGCGTCCCCCGGAGGAGCGGGCATGTGGTACTGGCGGGCCGGCTTCCCCGCGGGGCAGGGTGCCGGGTGGTCCCGGCAGGAGAGGCAGCCCCTCCGGCGGCAGGAGCCGCGCCGGGCGCGGCCACGGTTCTGCGGGCAACTTTTGGGCAAGGCCCCCAGGAGCGGCGGGGAGAGCGGGCGGGGTGGGGGATGCTTCCTCCCCTCCCTCCTCCTTCTTCGGCTCCGGCGGCAGCGCTGAGGCCGTGCCCTGTGCCCGCAGCCGGCCGCCCCGCCGCGGGGCCCGGGGGCGGCGGGGGGGCTGCGCTTGGCGGCGGTGATGGAGAGCCTGCAGCGGCAGCAGGCGGCCCGCCTGGCCCGCGGCCCCGACGGCGCTCCCCGACGGCCCCCGGTGGAGCCCGGCCCCGGCCCCGGGCCGCCGCCCGCCGCTCCCCGCCGCCGCCCGGCCTCTGGCCCGCGCCCGCCGCCCGCCGCTGCGGGGGAGGAGGAGGACGACGAGGAGGAGGAAGAGGAGGAGGAAGAAGGGGAGCCTCGCGACCCACTGCCGCCCCCGCACCACGAATGGACCTACGAGGAGCAGTTCAAGCAGGTAAGGAGGCATTGCTGCCCCGGCACCGGCTACTCCGGGCAGGCATCCCCGGTGTCCCCCCATGGTCCCCAAACTCGGGTTCAAACGGGTTCCTCATTCAGCTTTGCCTGAATGGACACCTCTTACGTCCCCCACTGCTCCCAAACCCTGTCTGCGTCCCACCCTAAATGGGCGACACCACGCCCCAGCCCAGACCCACCCCAAGCAGACATTCTCCATGTCCCCATTAAACCCCAGACATTATTGCGATGCCACCCTAAAATGAAACCCCGCCAGTACTCATCTACTGCTCCCAAACCTCATCCTCTCCTAAATGGGTACCCCCTGAATGCTCCTCACTGTCCCTAAGCCCTGTCCCATCCTATAGGCATCGTCATCATCCTATGTGCTCCCCATCTCCCTTCTGCCAAACACCATTTCAACCCTGCTTCGTGACCCCACCTCCTCAGTGTCCCCTGTGCCTGTCCGCAGGCCGTGCATCATAATAGGGTGTCCAGAGTCCAGGCATCTCCCTGTGCCCACCCTGATCTGTGCCAGCTCCATTCCTGGTGCTTTCCATAATGGGGTAAAACAGGCTGACCCCTGTCCACGGAGGTTTTGCAGAGATGAAAAAGGGCGAGGGCTCTGATGTGTGGTCACCCCAAGAAGCTGGTGAGCCATGGAGCTGAGTTCCCGTGTGTCTCTCCAAGGCTCAGGGCATATTGTGGTTGGTCAACGCAGCTCACTGATTTCTTGTACTGGAGGGAGTAGCACATACAGCCTGTCCCCTCATTCCTGGTGGGCGTAAGGGAGAACCTTTTGCAGCTGAGATCTGGCACAGGGAAAGCGCTTTCAGCAGCTCGTATAAAGGATGGGAAAAAAGTCTCCTTGTATTTAGTGCATGTGGATCTCACCTGAGCCGTGTTGTGCAAGCTCTGGTATGCACAGCGGGTGCCTCTCCATGGAAGGGTGTGGGAATGGAGCGCACAGCACCAGAGCAGGTTTGTGATCCTCACACACTCAGCTTCGTTATGGGGGAGAGAGAAGCACAGTGGGTGACAGGGAAGATGTGGTGAGGGGATAAAACAGATGTCCCCATACAGCTGTTGTGTGGCTCTTTAGGACGGCACTGCTGAGGGTGAGGATGAGAGCATTTCGGTCTCATCCAGTTCTGGCAGGAGATGAAGGGAACAGCAGCAGGGACCCAACTTCAGGCTACTGTTTCAAATTGCTCAAGGCATTGTTATCTGGGGAGCCGGGGCTCACCCCCTGCCTACAAGGCAGCAGGTACAGGTGCAGACAGGGCACGGGCAGCACATGCTTCCCGGCCGTGCCCGGAGATGCTGCCAGTGCCTGACACTGCCTTGAAGCAGCCCGGGGAGGGCCGGGGTGGGTGAGCTTGCACAGGCCAAACAGCTCGTCCGGGAAGTGTTACATTACACCCCGCTGCACAGAAAAAGGCTGACTGTCCGGTTCCTGGGGTCAGCCGGGAGGTGGGAAGCAGCTCCTCCCTCCCGGGGAGGCTAGGAAAGCATCCCTGGCATTTCTCGTCCTTCAGCCTCCTGCCCTGCCCCTGTCTGGGGCTGCCCGTGCTCCTTGTGCAGGGCAGGAATGTTGTGAATAGTGGGAGAGAAATGACAGGAGAGGTTGGGGTGCGGGATAAATTCTGCCACAGCTTCTCAGGGTGAGAGCTGGCTCGTTCCTTGATTGCTCTCTTTGGGTTTTTCCAGCCCTGATTGGAAAAGTGACAGACCCCTCATCCAGAGACCCACACCTGTGTTTACCACTTCGCGGCGTGTCCCAGCCAGCCCAGGGAACAACGGGATGTCCTTCTGCAGTTCGGAATAGCTGCAGTGCCAGCTTGCTTTGGGGTCTGCGGGGTGGCTGTCACTCCTGTCCTCCCCGGAGATCATGCAGGAGGGGACGTACCCCTGCATGGGAGGGACGTGTCCCTGCCGGGTCTTCCCCAGGCTGCAGGGCTGTGGCTCACCCAGCCTGGGAAACAGGTTCTCCACTCTCTGCAGGGACTAAGTGGGGAGGGTGGCTGTGCTTCAGCTTTTGGAGGTTTCCCAGGGGCTGGGCTGTGATGTTGTGCGGGAGGTGGGGGGGATTCAGCTTGTGTCTGCTGGAAAGCTGCTGGGGCAGTGGCAGTGTGGTTACAAGGGTCCTGGAGCTGGAGAGAGACCCTGTAGTGGCCAGAACTGTATTTCTCACCAGGAGTCCCTGCTTGGTTTTGCCCAAGCCATCACGCCAGCTGCCGGGGTGGGGTTCAGGGCTCGTTCCTGCTCTCATCCTCCTAGACTGGGGGCAGAGCTAAGTGATCACCAAATCTAGGCTGTTTGACAGAAAGTGGTTAGAGAGAGACTTCCCCATCTCTCTGCAGTGGGGAGGATGCCTTGATGAGGATGGGGTGGGAGGTTGGTGCAGGACTAGACAGGAAAAGGTTTCCACACAAGCAGTGGTGCTAAAAGTGGGAGCAGAGGACGAGGTGGTTGTGGTGGAACCCACAGGGTTAATGGACAAATGCTGCTTTGCATGGAGGAACTGTGTGGGGAAATACCCCACGTGTATGCTGAAGTTTTATGTGCTTCCCGAGGCGCTGGTTTGGAGGGGGGGGGGGCTGGTGAGACCTTTGCTCTGCCTGGGAGGGCTGCTGTAACATTACGAGGCTGAGAGACCCCCTCACCCCTGCCTCTTGCATCAGCCCCCGGCGCCAGTTTATGTACATTGATAAGGACACATGGGTAGAGACCTGGGCAAAGGTCTGGGAGGTCTCCACACCCAGGGCTGTCAGGCAGACCCAGCCCTGAGGTGGGGGGCACCAAGGGGGGTCTGATCATGCATTAGCTATGAGTCCCAGCTTCCCTAAGGTCTGGGATGTCTCCAGGTGTTAATTCTGTGGTGCTACATTATGTTTAAGTTGGAGGGCACGGGTGAGAGCCTGGCATTTCTGGTCTCAATCTCAGGATCCATGAATTCAGCTTTCTCTCTGGGGAAGCCATGCATATATACGGGGATAGGTGTGCTGGTTTTCTCCAAGTGATAGAACAGCACCCAGAACCTGGGGCTTTCTTCTCCATCCCTGGGGTAGGAGGGACTCAAACATCTGGGCTTTGCATCCAGCTCTCTGTTAGTGGAATGTTTGCTGGCAGGAGAATGCCCTCCCTGCCAGGGCCCCTCCAGCATGTTCACACCCATCTGTGACTGGGGGGATCAGGATCCTCTGAAGCTCCTTCCTCCCTGCCCAGGAGCAGCTGCAGGGGGTGAGCCCCAGCCAGACCTTTAGGAACTCCAGGGTGTCTGGTAGCCACAGTGGTTAATTTGGAGGTGGCTGGTTTTGCCAGCAGCTGTTTGCCATTGTCCTCAGCCTAACCCTGGAGTAGCTGTTCCTCCTGCCCTGCCTGTCCCTCATGCCAGCAGTTGCCTCTTGCACCCACCCACCTGTTCTTAACATGCATTTAGGGAGGGTTTGCCAGCTGTGAATGTGTGCACTCGCATCTCAGAACCTGGAGGTGTGCGCCCCTGTAGACAAAGATCTCCTTGTGCCACAGAGGATTATCCCAAAACTGAGTGGAAGGGTCTGTGGTATCCACCCTCCTATCTCTGTCCATATTGCTTTCTCCTTCGGTGCTGTTCCTGGGGATGGAGGAAATAGAGGCAGGAGTGTTCAGAGAATGGAGGTGGCTGAAGAGGGGGACTCGGATGAGAGGGTCGTGGTCTCCATGCCATAGCCCTCTCCTCACCATCAATGCATCTTCAACCTAAGTGCAGGACCAAGGGCTCCCATGGCTAAGTTAGAGGGTCTCTGGTTACACTGCAGAGGCAAGGAAGGGAGAGTGAACACTGTGTGTTTGCCCCAGTCCATGTCTGCCTGGAGGCTTTTCTCCACTGAATTTGTGAGCAGAGCTGTGCCCCTAATCTGGGACCACCTGCAGCGGGGAGGTGGCATCAGCAGCAAGGGTAAGCATGCTAATGCCTGGAGCTCCAACATCTCTGGCAACACAGCAGCAGCAGAGGGCACAGGACAGGACCAGGGGGCTGCTGGAGTGTGGCTGGAAGGGCAGCACAGGTATTCTGGGGGGTGTGTACCCACAGACCAACCTGACTGTGTGCATCTGTATAAATGCACCTGTAAGCATGGGGGGGTGTGTGTGTGGGTCCACGTGAGTGCCTCTGTGTGTAGAGATCCTTGGGAGACCCTGTGTGTCTGTATGGATCCACATGAGTGTACAGAGTGTCTATGAGCCCATGGAAGTGCTGGAATGTGTGTGTGGATCCATATGGCTGTAGGTGTGTGTGTGTGTGTGTGGGCGCCCACACCAGTCTGAACACACCAGTGTGCATGTACAGGCACATGTGTGGTGTCTCAGTGTGTTTAGGCATGTGCACACACATCACTGTGTTGGAATTGCATGGACCCATGGTGCTTGTAGCAGGATTTGAGGGCTAAGTCCTCTCCAAGGCAACCTGTTTCCCAGCCCACAGTACTGAGCAGTCCTGATGGTTCCAGTCTCCCACTCCCAGTGCTACCCCCAGGGCACTTCCTGGCCCCTCTGGAGCTTGTGGGATGCTCAGAGCCTCAGAAGCTGCCACAACGCTATCTTCCAGCTGGGGCTCCAAAGAGGAGGTGTTAAAATTAGTTGAGGATGTGACAGTACCCTGGCTGTGGAGGGGAGAGATGCACTGTCAGGAGCTCATACTGAGGCTGCTTCCAGCTCCCTCCCCGCTGCCTCCCTGAAATCAGATGCCATTTGAGTCTTTGGGGAGGATGCACCCTCTCATCAACTTGGGCCTCCAGTAATCCACTAGTTATGTTAATAATGGAGGTAAATCTCCTGTGCTGCCAGCCAGCTGGACAGGGCTGCAGTAGGGAGGTCAGATCTGGCGTGGTGGACTGTGGTCTCAGGGAGATGGATGGATGGATGGATGGATGGATGGATGGATGGATGGATGGATGGATGTGCGCATGGATTGTGTGTGTATGTGAAGAGTGTGTAGGGATGCATTAGTGTGGACAGGGT